ATAGGAAAATGGATGGCTTTGCACTGTTTTTAACCAAATCTAAACACATTTGAATGTCATGAGTCAGAAAGAGCTTTGACCTGAAATGTAATTCAGGAGTGGAAAATAGGAAGAGTGGGAGGTGGCAGGAGAGGATTAACTAAACAGAAAAGAAAATTCGTAGTCTTTCATGACTTTGCTCCTGTTAAATGCAGTGGTCTAAAACGCTCTTGTCCTAGAACAGTTGGGTCTTATAAATGGGAGACATTTGAAGATTAGGAAGAGTGGAAAATTAAATCTTACTGAAGTGTTTTTTTTCTGCATTTTAAATCAAAATTAGGAAGCTGCAGGGAAGAGTAGAAGTCAAAGGAAGGCAGCCAGAAGTCAAAGGAAACACATTTGTAACCATTCGTGTCCTAATGAGTAGCATTAGGAAACCTTTTGTAAGTATTTAGCCTTGACCATAGCAGATTGAATACACTTGGTCTTGTCCGGAATAAGCAATCCCAGATCTGTCAAGTATCTGGGTGAACAAACATTTGGCAATTCCAGTTACTACAAATGGAAACCAAGGAGCTATGATGAAACGCTTGACAAATACTGGGTTACTGGAGTCAAGTGAGGTGAAAGTTTCAGTTCCATTGTCACTGCTGATCTGACAGATAGCAAGAGAAGAAGGACATTTGCAAATAATATCAGGTGTTCTTAAAAGAAATGCTTCTCTGAATAATTACTGTAATGTAAATCAGCATACGAACTTAAGCTAAGAAGATTTAAGACAATGATTTGCGTTCTTGTAATTCAGAATCAGAATGTTAAACTCCCTACGTATGGGTACACTTTAAATCTTCATAAGGCCTTGACTTGACTCCTGAAAGAGGGGGCTTTAAACTCATGTTAGATAACCCGTATTAATGTCCAAATGGCAATAAATCTTATGTAACTTTTATAGGTGCTGTCTCTACCTTAGCTAGTCAAGAACCTCCAGTAACGGACAGACTGTTGAGAGGCAAATTATCTACACCCAAGTAAAATACTTCAGTGAGATAGCTAGCTTAATCTGAAATACAACCCCTTTCAGAAATGAATACTGTCCAGGGTGTGCAAGTCCTCAGTACACACAGGAGATAGGAAAACACTTTCTGGAACTGACAAGCTCCCAGCAACAGTATGCCAGGGCAAAAAGTGGTGCACTCCAAATATGTGATTAAGGTCTGTTTGATGTGTTCCTGCCCTGGATTTCCAGGGGACAGAGAGGACCTCACGCAAGGCAACCTGTTCTGGGCTCAGGCAAGTAGGAGGACCCAATGTGTGGCACGAGGGCAGAGTAAGCGGTCTGGAGTGGGGTGCCGGAAGAGTCAACATGTTATTTCACGTAGGACCCAACAAAATTTACCAGTGCCATGCAGTGTTGCCAATAAAATTGTCAGTGGAAGTAATTCTCTCTCAAAAAATAGTGTGGGGGAATGGTGGTGATGAGTTTGACTGGGAAAAACTGTAATTTAGAAAAGCTGTGTTATCAAATTAGTTTTCATCAACAGCTGACTCCAAGTTTAACTAAGATCTCTAAGGTTATGGCTTCATTATCACTTGATTCAGGCTCAACACATCTTTGTTTGACTAGCTGAAGATTCAATGTAACACCTATTTACAGAAGTAATTTGCAAATGTTGGTCTGATCTGTATGGACAGAGATGTTCAGAATTTGCTTAAAGATGTTTGCTTTGTATTTGGAAAGATTTAATGTGATATCAAGGTTTCAGAATGTGCTCAACTTCAGTGACTAACTCTTTACATACTTTACTGGAGAAGGAAACTCGATCTTCTGTATTTTGAAAACTGTATGTAGTATCCCTCTGTCTCTTCAGTAGCAGGTGTAAAGTGTGTGTGTGTTTCAAAAGACTGTGATCAGACCAGATTTATCAAAATAAGAGCATACTGAAAATTCTGAAAAACACTCTGGAACTCCAGAGACATATCCTGCACTTTATTATCCGTGAGAAGGTGTGTATTGTGTTCTTTTCTCTTCACGTTTTTAAAGAAAAATCTAATTTAAAGATATTCTCTCAAACTTTAATTCTGCAGTTTCTTAATGCATTCCTCCATTGAACGACGAACCTCTTTTGCCATGAGCAATATGTCTTTGTGCTTTTATACTCTTTTTATACTTTGTGCTTTTATATTTGAAAGCTAAGAATGTGTGAGATAAAGGAGAGGGAGATTCTGATCGCAGTTGGATGGTATACATCCAGAGATATGGGAAATTAATAGAATTACTGTGAATTTACCCCAGTGCAGATGAGAAGGTCATCGTCAATACTTTAAAGTAATCGTGAGAAGCATCTTCTGTTCCTCTGAAAGTTCGTGTTTTGTGTGGCAAAAAGCAATGTCCTGATCTTGACGTGCCACAGATCTGGAAGAAGTCAGGAAGGCATGCAAAAAATCGAATAGGATCACAAAAACACAGACGGAGAAGCATCTCCAAGGAAAAATTTGATAAACTATGCCATATAACTGTAACTATGCCATATAAACTGTGTATATGTAAATGATAACTCTATACATTTGTTTACCAGCACAAACGCTATGATGTTTTGCTGTTGCATCTGGATTTGTCTGCACTAGATGCGGATATGACCGCTTTAACTAAAATCTAGGGGTGCGGATAGCTAAACTCTTTGAGATGAAATGAGATGGCGCAGGCAATCTGTAGCCCTTTCTTCTGCTCCAGACTCACGACTTTGAAATGCAAGTGACTGTCACTGTTGTTTTTACCTGCCTCCTACCCAAAGCATACCACGTATTAGGCATTATGCACTAAACAGCCTACTGATACTGTATTTCATTTCTCAACCTTTGCACAGTAAAGGGGGAAATAGTATGAGAAGAGTAGTGGCAAGGACCACTGATTCATGTGTTCTAAAAACTTCAAATAAACAGTAAAGGGAGGGGAAATAAAGCTGACTTACAGGACATTGCTCTTGATTAGACTTGACGTTGTTTTAGTTGAACTGATTCTGCTTGCCTCTAGCAACAAACATTTTCTAATGTACTTTAGCGATAGATGTTGCATCCCCTACTGTTTATTGAATTGTGCATGTAGGCTGGCCTCCATGCAGTTCTCTGGTTTAGGGCATCTTTTTGACTCTAGACAGCTAACTGGTTCAGCACTTTTTTTTTTGTTAAGCGTAGGTTATGTATTTTTGAGATCACTTATGTAATTCTATAGGGCAAAATGAGATCACATCTGAGACCCATCAGCTGTGATACTGGCCCTGGAAGCTAAATGCATGTGCTTCTCTGAAATATATTTTGGACATTTAAGATGTTCTGTCAAAGAACATCTGTTCTTTCATTGCCGCAGAGTTGTCTGGCTCTGCTGGTGTTAAGCAATCCTGATCCTGCCTGAGTCCAGTTGGAAGGATGTGTGGGACAAATACCTTGATTTCTCTTTTTGGTGTATTAATAGGTAAAAGGAATAACTTTCCTTAAGAACTATTATTAAAGAATAAAATTAGAAGAGGTGGTTGCTCATCTGCAGCTCTCCATTCTCAGCTTAATTTTGAGTAAGAAAGAGATGCACAGTCTTAGTTGGCTGTTAGTATCCACTGGCACTGCCGCTGAATTTTCCTGAAAAAGGATGTCAGAGTTTGGCCTCAGTCAAATACTTTCAAACAGTCAAATTATTTTTAAAAAAGTGATAATGAATTCTGTGTATAAATATCCCTCTTATTTTGCTGTCTCATGTTATAAATTCATATGCAAGAATTCGGAAGTTGACTCTGCGGGATTATTTGTTACTCAAGATAGAGGTTGACAGTTTCCCAACATTTTAACAACAAAAATGGGCGACTGGAGCTTGGGCACCAAGGGATACGTGCCTGGCCCTGCTCAAGAGTCTCAAGCCTGACCTGGTAGGACCTACTAAAGGGTGAGAGAAAGCCCCTGTAGGATTGCCAACAAGTCACCAATTAATGCTAATTGCATGGGAAATCATTGTAATGGTGTGATGGTTCATCTGGAACCTGGAAAGTGTCCACAGTTGTGCTGCACCCTAGGACTGTATGTCTCTTGTTAGTTGTTACTAGAAGAACACATATTGTTGCTTGCCACTCTATTCAGTTGCAGGATTGTAAGATCTTAATTACAATTAATGTGAAGAAATTTGAAACAGCTACTGTGTATCATGTGGCTTGACCCGGGAACATTTTAGTTAAATTGTAATATTCCTATTGGTTTCAGCAGGGATCGTCAACAACCTCTCTGGAGCCTGTGCAGGATAAATAATTTTTCATTTTCTGATAGAAAAGAAAGCAAACCTGAAGTTACATGAAATAGATCCCGAGTACACACTGTAGTCCTTCTTTTAGAACAAGAAAAATACAAGCATCTAACTGTAAAACAGTTTCCTCGTTTGTCTCTCTCTTTGCCAAAGAGAGCTTTGGAGAAAACTGGGATTTAAAATCCTGCCATCCTCCTCTCTTCATATTGACAGCTGTAAACATCTGCTAAGAATGTGATTCATTGTCTCATCAAATACTTGCTCGTGAAGATCATTAAGCATTGCGCCTTCTTGAAAATTAAAACGGTAACGTCATGTGGAGGAAGTGAAGAGCCAACTTGTTCGGAGGCTGGCTGAAGTATGATTTCAGAGTCTTGTGACAGAAGCCGTAGCATCAACCCTCTGTTGCAGAAATAAAACCACAGCAAAAAGAAACGAGTTCCAAGCGAGCTCCAAAATGCAGGCAGTGGCAGATGGAAGTTGTAACACACACTGCTGTGTCATCTTTCTGAGATTTTGCCTGTCGTTGTTGATCTTTAAAAGGCAGACAAGGCTTCAAGTCATAAACTGTATTTCATATAACTCCTCCCTTATTTCAGATGCTTGCTCACGCAGCCACCCCCGTATCCGAAGCACAAACGTGTGAAACAAGGCAGAGAGTATTCCCACTATTGTACGTCGCATCTCATCCCGAGATGCGAGAACGCCTCCAACGTCTTGACACTCATTTACTCCTTTTTAATATAATGAAGCGTTGGCTAATCAAAAATACATAAGCATTTTTCTCCCGTCAGTTCTCCTCAGACTACTCCAAGAAGAAGAAAAAGTGCAGGGCTGTACATGAGAGTGTCTTTGTGATACTAGTCAGTGGCGGCCCTGACAGAGCAGGCATTGTTTGCTCGCTGTAATAGGCTTGGCAGCCAAATAAGGTAGAGATCTGTGCCGCGCATACAGAATCGGAAAGTAGCAGAGGACAAGCATCTAAAAATTCCTACCACTGGAGTAACTAGAAGAAGGAGTTTCAAAATGTGCCGCTAACAGCTTGCTGTGGGGTCTTCTGTAGAATAGAAACGTAGCCCTGGAATGAAGAATCCTTGTTAATTGAAGGTAATCTTTTTGTCTTTATAGGAGCATGTTAGTTATTGCTGCTGTTGAGTTATTAACTGAAATGTATACAGTAAGACCAGAAGTTGTGAGGTCTGCAGTATTCTTGAGAAGAATAGAGACTTTAGAACAAATAGTAGCTTCATAGTTGCATCTTGCTGCAGCTGAGGGTTATTGAAGTTTGTCTGTTCCCCTTTATGTGCATTTAGCTCACATTACCATTAATGAGAAAATCTGTACGTGTTCCCATCAGAGGAAGAAAAGAGCATTTAGTCTCCTTCTCTAGCTTTCGTATTTTTTAAGCCAGAAGCTACTACATATATGCAATATTAAATGGGTTTTGCTAATAGAAATACGTTAACATGTTGCCATTAGGCAAGGTAACTACCTCTTCCTATTACCAGAGACAGTTCCTCACCCCTGCGGGTACTCCATGTGCTCCAAAACATTCTGTACCGTAGTAAAAAAAAATCCACATACCTCAGCAGAAAAATCGTTGTTGCGTTTATTAACCGATTCTTTTCAGCCACTTTTTGACTACGAACATTACACAGACTGTGCTGAAAAGATTTTATGTTGTCGTGCAGACGTTTCTCCCGTGTTCCTACTCCATCAGTGACGTTTTTAGTGGGGTTTTTATTATTATAATTTATCTGTTTTTAAATTAAAGATAGATTTTTGTCTGAACACTTCTTCAGGTTTTTTGCTGTTCTCATTGCTTTCTGTCCCTTATAGTTCTTGAGTGTGTTTTTGAGAGTTTGTGCTGCCATTTGGGTTTTGGATTATAAACATGGTTTTAAAAGTGAATGCCGTGTAGCTTTGGCATGTCTTCATTTTGTGTGGCCGGGTTGGTGGGCTTTCAGTGAGTGCTGACTCTGCTCCACTCAGCATCCCTTAATAGGTTGAACACCCCAAATCTGGAGTACATCCTATCACAAATGACTTTTGAAAGAAGGTTTTTGCTTGTTTGTTTGTTTTTTGAAGGGAGGAATAGAAAAGAGGAGAGTGTCTTTTGTGCGTTGCTGGGTCTTGCTCTTCCCTGCCAGCGTGCATTATGTAGCAGCACAGTTTGTTGCGTGTAATTGGGAAGAACATAGCTAGTACCTCCTGTTTGCCTGATGGCATGTGCTGATCCCAGCGGACAGACACAGCTTTTGTGCTACTGTTTGGGTTTTATTCTTGAGGGAGCAACTGTTCCAAAGAATAAACACGCTGCCTTATATGAGAAACTCTGGAAAACATCCTGCTAGTGACAGTGGCAGCCGTTGCCTATCACTCTGGACATCCGTCTGCCAAAAACAGTAGGATTTGCTAGCTGACCAGCCAAGGGCGAGGTGCTGCAAGCTGGGTACCCGCTAGATAATTGTCAAAGCGGGCCAGCGAGTCGGGAAGTCCAAAGGAAATAGTGTTTGTCCATAGGCAACAGTGAGGTTGCTAACTACTTGCTCAAAATGCGGTACCTGGGCTTCTCCTGGCCACCAGCCCAGGGATTTGTGTCATCCCCTTCGTGCACACATGTAAACCCTGCTAATCCTTGCAAAACCTGGCGAGCTGCTTGGCGGTGGGCTTGTGTCGGACGCAGTGTGGGCCTGTAACGAGCCCGTTAGTCTCTCGCCGTCAGCTGGGCAAGTTGCTCTGCTGTGCCGTCCCGAGCTTCGTGCGCGACCTGCACCTTCCCCTGGTGCGGAGGATGGGAAAACCAGGGAGTCCACGCTCAGAGGCTGCTGAGGCGGTCGCTGGCCCTGCTGATGGGCTCTGGGTTTGCTGATGGCCATGAGTGTTTGATGAAGAGATTTTGGGAGGCGGAGCGGGGAGATGGACCCATCCAGGCAGCAGCCGCAGCAGCAGCCCCACTCGGCGCCTTGGAGTCCCTCAGGCGGCTCAAAAGCGAAGGGCAAAAAAATGAACTTTGGGGAGCACCTCTCCGTGTCACCGGCACACTTAACCCTTGTGCTGGCATGAGTCATGGCACGAATCCCAGCCCTGTGCAGGTCGCAGGAGTGGTTTTTGGCTGGTTTTGAGGAGAAAAGAAGTAACGCGGACACGCGCGCTCTCCTTTTGCGCGTCCCCAAGACCCTCCCTACGGGTAGGTGGACACCGCGACACATGCACCGTGTTGCTGGTGGGCTCCAGCACGGGGGCCGCATCCCCCCTTTTCAGCCGTGGCAGCCATGAAGCGGGTCTGGAAGGAAGAGGCTAGACTGTGTGTCTTGCCGTTTGGATGATAACCTCAGCGTTTAAGTAGTGCCATCAGTAGCATGTCAGAAGGAAGGATAAACCCCCGGCCCTTCGCGCTGCAGAGAGGCGTTCCAGACAACACCTACTATGATAAAGAAGGACAATTAAAAATAATAGTACGCATATTTAGGCTTGCGTAGTTTTTTATCTATCAAATGAGGGGTATTTAAGGCCATTACCTTGAGAAGAAAGAGCAGTGAGGCCCGAGATTAGATTCTGTGTGTCTGAATGAGTTTCTCGTATATGGGACCAGCAAGTGCGGAAATCCCAAGTTAGAGCTTGTCTGCACAAATACAAAAAAATGGAACCAGAATAATTAAAAGGGATGCAATTCATCCCATTTTTTTCGGTGGATGCTCCATGAGAGGCACCCATATCAGGAAATAAAAATGTAAGTGGATGAATGTGGTTTTAAGTTAAACCAAAGTTGGTCATTTATTACTGTGCAAATGCTGGCTTAGACTGGTGGCGAGCCTGTTATTTTACTTTCGCTGCTGTGTTTTAATTGGCAAAGACTTGCATAGTTCTATTCAGTCTGTTAGTTTAAAAAAGTGGAACAAATATGTCTCCCACACATAAAACTATTCTGCTTAAAGTTCATTTGCTGCATGGCTAGTTTATGCAGAGACTTTTATCACCCATTTCCTCTGGAGTAAGCAGGCAGGGTCAATTTAAAATAGATAGCTTTTGCTTACGTAATCAACTTTCATCTTTTGTGTATGTATCTGTAAACAAAAAGATGCAGCTGAGTTTGTCATGTATGTAAGAACAGGCGTAAGCGTTCTGGTCACTTCTTAACCAGTACTTCATTTGTCAGCGCAGAAGCTTTTGCTTCCCCTTTGGGAAAACCTGTATGAAGACTTGGGTGGACTTTGCTGTAAGGTAAGAAATCCACCTGCTGAGCGTCTGGATTTTGAAGTTCTTCTTTCTATTTTTGCATTGTTACTGAGTTCCCATGTGATAAATTATTTCACACTGAGTCTATTTGGGTTTTGAAAAGATTTGCATATTTATTCTTTATTCTTCTGTAGTAATGCATATGTGACCAAAATTAACTGTTTACTGTATGGATGGTAATCATTCTTAAATTATATCGGAATTTACTGTCACATGAAGTTTTATACGCCTACTTTTTTTCCTGTTAGCCCCATTCTCCTAGGGCAGAGGGCCATGCTGTGTGTTCTGCATACCTCTTCATGCAGCAGGTCTCTCTGCAGCATCAATCACTGAAATATGTTCAGCTTTTAAGCGTTAGCTTAAGAGAGTCCAGTGTGTTTTCTGATTCCCAGGAGCACCATCACTTTGAGGCCTTCCCCTACCAGCTTTGCTCTCACCTTTTGTTCTCAACTTTGTATTCATTTCTTTTCTAGATTTTCTCCTCTCTCCCAAACTGCTCTCTTTCTTCGGTACAACAACTCTTTGTCCACTCGTTCTGGAGAGAATTTGGCTTTTTTAGCGCTGCCAAGCAAGAAAATGGTAGGGAGTTTGTGTCTTGCTCAATAGCAGCCCTCTCCTTCTCTGCCCGCTTTCAGACACAGTATGCTTGAGATTTTTTCCTGCAGACAAGTTGATGCTAAAACAGCATCAGTCTTGCCTCCACGCCCAGTACCTACATGTGTGTTTTAGTCCACCTCATGCATGGAGTGAACAAATAAATGAATAACAGAGGAAGAATCTATGTGAAATATGACGACTGGAAAATGCATAGCTTTTCAAGGCAGATGCATTAGTTGTGATTTGGGGTCCTAAAAGATAGACTTTCATGCTGTAATGCAGTGCTAGACAGGTCGTGCAGACTGCGTGGATGATACTACAAAGGTCCATCAGTGTTGTTACAGTACAGCTATGCTGCTTGTTTCCCTAATCTGCCTGTTTAGAGACACCCAGAACATCCATCTTAATCATCTATTTCCGCTGTACAGTAGATGCAGGAGGAAATACGGCAGAGAGCCATGTCACTGGAAAAATGCATCATTTGAATGTGCAATGTAAATATTTTAACTAACCAAACGTAAGCACGATTTTGCCTTTAGTATGGGAAAAGACTATCACAGAAAAACTCGCTGACCCAAGAGTGACCCTGTATAAATGAGATACAAAATTGTGTTCACACATTTCAGTAATCAAAATAGAGTGGTTAATGAATTGTCTGGTGTGAAATGAATTCCAAATGCAAGTGTGCCTGACACAAGGCAATCAGCAGTCGCTGCTGTATTAACTCTAGAAGGCAGGACTTTCCAGGTTTTCCTGAAGTGCCTTATTTCATTCACAGATTTGCTGTGAGGTTTTTTGGTTGGTTGATTCAAAGGAGAACAGAGTTCTTGGGAAGCCTAGAGCAACTGCTCATTAGCTCTGCCTGTGCTGAGTTTGGAAGTGCTTGAGGACAGCCCTTTATGGGTGGTGCTCATACCCAAGTCACAGAAGGAGTTGTAAGCAATTGCAAGATGCCAGTGATATTTCAAGATAGAGCAACATGCCGCTGAGAAATTGAGGGGCATATCCGAAAATGAATTAGAAACATTGGTTACTGTTGAGTGAATGATGAGTCTGTAGTATATTAAAAAGGAAAAAATCCTGTGGCCTTTTTGTCTCTCTCATGAAGATGGAGAATTGCTGTTTGCTAAAAAACAGAGAAGGG